CCCCCCCGCCCTCGCCCCCGGGCCCGCCTCCGGCAGGCAGCGGCGTGTCCGCCTCGGCTCCCACAGGCGCCCGCGTGAGGCCTGCGGGCGTAGCAGAAGGGCAGGCCGCCCCCGGCCAGCGCCAGAGGCGTGAGGGAGGCCCAGCGCTCTCAGGCGCTGTCAGCTCCGCTCCCGGGAAGGCACAGGAGCGGGCCGCAATGGCTGGGAAGGCGTTTTGCTTCTTCAACAAGGTGCCTGTGCACCAAGGCAGCAAGTCGCACAGCCACAAGCACAGTTCCCGCCAGAGCCCGGCCTGCAGGTGAGGAAGGCCGCAGCAAAGTGATACGAAACGCCCAGGTGTGTCACGCAGGCCTGGCGGTTCAGGCCAGTCTGGAATTCCATTCCCGGGGGTTTTAATCCAGAGCTGGGCTACGTATGGCTGAGGCAGGGCCTTGGCCTCAGCCACAGCAGCAGCTGTGCCCGCACCATCCACAGCCACATCCACAGGGCTTCAGGCAGCACTCTCGCGGTTGTCTAACACAAACAGCCCGAGTCATTTTGCTGTCAGTTGCACAGATACTGACTAAACAAACTGCGAGCCCGTGATCACTTTGTAGGTGATCTCCACTTTTGGGTGGAGACACGGCACAAGAAGAGTGCTGATTTTCTCTTTGATTATTTTTCTACAAAAATATTTGTTCTTGCTGGTACTTGAACTCCTGAGATCAAACAATGCAGTGTTTTGGTGTAGAATATGTAAATTACTTAGGACTTCCTTTCCCAGTTATTAAGGCTTTTCAATACATACATAAAAACACAATAACAAAAGGCAACTTGCTAGGTATTGCATCTGTCTTAAAAGTAATTTTAGTTTAGCATAGATTCAAACCAAAATATTGACATGATTATTCAATTAAAGTTGATTGTTTTAATTTTATCCCTAAGTTTACAATTCATTGACACCAGTATCTCGTTAACATGCATTTGTCTTTCAAATGGGGAGAGCTGTATTAGCACTGAAGAACCCAGACCTTTACAGTCAACTGAGCCTATAAACAGGCAAAGGAAAGATGACACAAATCAAGGACAGTTAACTCGAAAATACCAATCCATAATGCTTTTGATAATTACAGTCTAATTGTTCTAAAGATGCTTAAAGAGTAGGATGCGCCTACTTTGCGGACCTTTTTGGTGGGACCCAAGCACAAGTAAAAGACTGAGATCAGTGAAATGTCACCAGTGCAGACCACGTCAGTGGCACTGCGCGGGTGTTCACGCACCAGAACAGGTTGCGCAGGGAGGCTGTGGAGCCCAGCCGGCCTGGACAGCGCCTGAGCAACCTGCTCTGCTCGACCGTGCTTTGAGCGCAAGGGTTGGACTGGCTGAAATCCAGAAGTGCCTTCCAGCCGCAACTGTGCTGTGAGCTGTGAGTGTTTCTTAGAGAATGACGGGCAGTTCTTGGCGGTGTTGCTTTTTCCCTTGACATTGACTCAAAAGCTGTAGACTCTTTTCTCTGGATTTGTACAATAGGGTTTGGTTAAGAGGAATAAGGATATTTTTTAAGGCAATTGTCTCTAACCAATTCTCACTTCCTATTTCTTCTGCATAGGATATTGTGGTGTGGTTCCACAGTTATATTTGTCCAATTTGTATGCAATTTATCTGGAAACAAACCAACCCAGTGTGGCTAAAATAGCCTGTCTGGGTTGAAGATTTCTTTTTTTTAGCACATAAAATTGCACCTTCTAAATACTTCTGACCAACAATATGGCTAATGTCTGTGGGTCTAATTATAAACTTTCCTTAATCTCAACCTTCAAAAAAGTATTCTAGCCTTCAAAGCTCACCCCTGTCAAATCCTGCACATCCTGAAATCCACTTAGATGACCTCCATCTCACATTCACTCTGCAACTCATGCATTTAAAACACCACACCCTACAGCTCATTCTCCATTATCCTCAGATGTATGATGTAGCTAACTGAGGAGCGGGAGAAAGGCTGGAGTGTTACCAGACATGAGCGTGTGTTATTTAACAACAGACTTACGCTCACAGAAGCCCTGCTAGAAAAGGGTTTGCAGCTAGCCCAAGCCTAGCCCAGTACGTATCACCCACCCCGGTAAAGCACTTGGGCAGCCCATCCTATAACCCAACACGTGCCCCGAGCATCGGGGTAACTGAGGGCGCTGCACAGCTGCAGGGAGATTGCTCGAATCCAGCATACAAACCACCAGCTCAAACCCGAAATGACAGCGACTCCCATTACCTTTATTTTTAAGCTCATGAAACCTCATCATGTGAAAAGCGTGAGACGGTATGATGTTACCTAGTAAAATGGACAGTACAAACTGTGACTTATCAAAAAAAAAAATCAAAATATTTGAATATTTTATGCTTTCACATTTGTCTCTTTTCCATTGAAATTTTTAGCACCTTGTAAGTTTAAACATCTCTCATAAATTATTTTTTGATCTTCTTGAAATACACACAGTTCAGCTGTCACTCAGAGACAGTTGCTTGACAGTTCAATGATGTTATTACAGTCAGTTGTGGGGAAAAATTATCTTTTACTGACAACTGGTATTTTTAAGACATTTGAAATGAGAAAGAAATTAATTCTTTAGTCTCCGAGTTGGCACAATCAATTTATTGGATCTCATGTTGTGGCAAAAATGAGGGTATTTTCTCTCTGATGTATTATATCGCAGTGTATAGGTTAGTGAAAAGTAGCTATCAAAATCCAAATTCAGTGTTTTGCTGTAATTGAAAAATCAGCATATTCTCAGTAAATGTGAGAGAGCTCCTACCTTTTACTCCTCCGTCTCAGAAACAACGAAACAGAGTGCAGAAATTCAGCTGCTGTATGGAAAGATGAATGAGTTTTTCCACTTGCTGCTACATAAGGTAGAAATACAAACCATCAAAATACCCTCAATAACAAAAGATCTTTTTGGCTAAAATTAACAAGTTAATAAAAAAGGCTTCTATTTAACTGTAATTTTCTTTCACGTGTTTACGTGGAGCATCAGTTAGACTCCCAGATAAAATAGGTAAGCCAAGGTGCCCACGACCGAGCGCACAGCCAGCCATTCTTCAGAGAAACTTGCCATTTTTTCCTTCCTTCCTGTCTGCAGCGATGAAGTGATTCCAACACAACCACGGAGCTTTTTGCCACCTATTTAACAGGTTTTGAATGGCATAGAATTTTGTACATGTTTCAGCGCATGGAAGTTTTTGCATTGCATGGTTTAACTGCTGTTCCTCTGTTATCCCAAAACACGGCTAATTCATTATAGGCAAAACTCAGTCCAGTGCCCTGAGACTGCCAATTCCTTGAGAGCCTTTAGTTGAGTTTTTACTCTTTGATTATTACCACTTCAGTGCAGAACACACAGTTTCAAGATGGTTTAAGATTTGCAAGTATTTTGGAAGGCAAAAATCAGAATTAAAAACCACCTTCAGAACGCAGATCAATGTTATGAAATAAGTAGAATACAGTTTCAGTAAGACCAACTGGAAAGAACTGCAGTTTTGTGGAAACAGCAAACTGCATAAATACAAGATTAGAAATAAATAGCCAAAGAGGAATTTTGTAGCTCGGCTTCATAGCTGATCACAAACTAAACACGTCAAGACCACCGTGCTGTTGCAGAAAAGGAACACCCAGACCTTGCGTTGGGGTAGACAACAGTGTGTTACGTAGGGCTAAGACCTGGTCCAGCAGCGGACACCACGAGGCAAATGTGAATCAGAATGGAACAAATAGGGAGGGCAACAGTGTAAGTTTAGAAAACATGAAAATCTATGAGAAAAGGCTTAGAAAATCTAAACTTGTTTCCATCCAGGGGTGAGAACGCTGAAGTGACGATGCAGTTGCTGCAAAAAGGAACCGCTTTCAAGGTCTGTGGACAAGCAGCAATGGACTCAAGTAGCAGCAAGGAAGATTTTTTTTTTTTTTAGACACAAAGTAAGCTCTGACAGTCTGAAAAGTTTATGCAATGAAATAGATGGCATAGAGGGGTTATGGAATCTGCATCATAGAATGCCATAAAAAACAATTATATGGAAATCAGTTAGGAATGGTTCAGTTGGAGCTGAGCCTATCTTAGGTAAGGGGTGAAATAGCGGATTTTCCCAGGTCCCTTCCAGCAGTATCCCACTGACTCCTACAGCAAGTCTCAGTTGCCAGGAGCCTGGTACGCCACAGGCTAGGCAGCTGACATAACATCAAGAACATTTTGACAGGTTCGTGTACTTTTGCCCAGAACAAAGCACAGCACTCCCAAATATCTACTTGAGCTTCTATCTTGCTGTTCGAGGCATTACTATGGTGAAGATAAAATGCTTTTGTTTGCTGCTACTGCCACAGCAATCGGCAAGTTGGTTTCAGCAGAACGTCTGTTCCCGTGTGGTTACAGTTTATCTCTCAGATTTTATGATGTGTAGTATGGTTTTCCTCCCTTCGTGGTTGGAGCCATCCAGAGTTGCACGCAAGGGAGATTCCCCCGCACACACCACCCATCCATTTGAAGCAACAAATCTTAATGCTCTGGCTTCTCAGGTGCAACCAGCTTCTGTGTAGTTTCATAAAATAGATAAGGCTTACTTAACTGTTACGCTACATAGAATGTAAAGCTCATTTTTCCTTCTAAAAATTTGTATTCTGCGATAAGATTTTCACTATTCCCATCAAGCGGCACGAAAGGCATTAGTAAATTAAAACAAATTTTTAAAAAAGAGATATATGTGGCCAGGTGAAATAAAATACTGCTTGCTTGGAGCCATACAACTCACTGACAAAAAAAAAAAAAAAAAAAAAAAAAAATCTGTGTGTTGGAAGTGCCAAGTATCTTGTGAAGCCTTTGAAGGCGTAAAAATAGAGGACTTTTCACAAGTTGAATAACTAAAAAGCTGTCTGTAGTCAAAAATACTTTGGAAATTAATAGGAGTAATTACTTACAAATTTCATTAAATGTCAGCTCTGGCTTGGTTTTAAACCCTAGCTTGCCTCCGTTTTGCAAAAGGTTTTTATAGATTACAGCGCTACCCACTCTACAGACTGTATGCCCTAGAAAAAGTAGGTCCAGAAGTAAATCACAGTATAAGTTTGTTGACAAATGAATTTGTAAAAAGAACAGTTTACACCAGAAGGATCAAAGTCAGAGCCTTTATTAAATGTTCCTTCTTTAAACAGACTGCATTTAATCCCCCTTTCGCATTTGTGATTTCTAAGGCTATTTTAAATACTTTGTTTTACAGGGATTTTCAGTCTTCAGAACCGTCACAAGCAGCAAGTTAGCAGTACACAAAAACAATACGCTTTAACTTTCACCGAGTTCTATTCCTGCTTCACGGGGTCCGTGGAAAAGACCAACACCACTCCCAGTACTGGAGTTTTCGCACAGGCCCTGCAAAGGAAATAGGTGTCACCAGAGTTTAAGCCTGATGTGCTCTAGCCACATCTCGCAATTGGCCACAATTTACCAATATTGATTAGTATAGCTGTTTCTTGCGCATTATCTGTTTCAAAAAGGGGACCAAATTTTCAATTTTCAGCTAGTGTGGGTCTAATTAAGGCTATTCTGGTACATTTGATACTAAAATACTCTCTGGGAGTCCTTTTCATGAAATCCCATCAGAATTAACATTTTCAAAAATGAAAACATTTAAAATAGGTGTTTGAGTTGAAATGCTGATGCAGCGGTTGATTCAGTGTTTTCTTGTCTTCTGGAGCTTTATTATCACGTCAGTATAGTGTCATCTATCTGTTCCTCAGAGTCAGCCTGGCCAGCCAGCTTCTTCAGAGATCTCCTGCAGCTTTCGTTGAGAAGCTCCAAGCTGGCAGCATCTAGAATCTTGGAAACCGACTGTGGAAGGAAGACAACACCGATTACCAATTCCTTATGACATACCCTTCAAAACAAGAATAAATGTAAGTGCCTTACAAGCTGTATTTATCTAAAATCTCTCAAACATACCAAAATCCTTCATCTGGTTTTATGATTCCAGACACGGGAACGATCCAAAAGCAGCTAAGACTTAGAAAAGAGGTCTGGAAATAGATGTACAAAGTAGTCCATCCTAAAATACTCTCTCTAGCACCACTAATGCTGCAGTAGGATTATACAAGTGCCAAAAGCAATAAGCTAGCGGTCCTGCGGCACAGGAAGGGCTTACGGCATGTTGAAAGCAAGGCTACTATGTTAAACTTGGGGGGGTACGTTAAATACCGTGATTTTAGTCATACTGTACAGTATCGGTACTGCCTATTTCTTGAAGGCTTAGCATGAAAATACCGATGAAGGCTTAAACGCAAAGAGGAACGTCCCACTGCACCTATTTCGTAAGAGCCTGCCAGCACGCTCTGAGGCTCCAGGCACAACGCTTAACCATACGCAGAGCAACGTGACACGGCCTTCTACCAACGATGACATTTTCTTCTGTCTCGTACCTCAAGCACTTCTTCACCCGCTCTCATCTTCAGAAGATTGACAATAGCTTGGTCGCTGTAGGCTCTTACACTGGTGTTTTTGTCCTTCGTGTTGTCCAGAAGCGCTTTGAGAATTGGTTTAATTGTCTGAGGATCCAGGGAGGGAAGATGGTTTTTATTTGCCCACCAGATCATCTTTTCTGCAACTAACTTTATGTCACTGGATGAGTTCTGGAGACACTGAAGGAGACAAAGATGAACTGAAATTCAGATATACCGAGGACAGGTATTTAAAGCAGCAGTTTATCTTTTTTTCTAATTTAAGTTTTTTAAACTGTAACAAAAAAAGCAAGCAGTTTTCAACTCACAGGTACGCAAGAGACAAACTTGTTACCAACAAGTTTGACTGAACTGGGTAACAGTAAGAGCAGAGCAAACTTTGAAAACAAGACACCTTTTCAAAAGAAAACTTCTAAAAATGAGGTTGACGACAGGGTCACACGCCTCTCAACTGTCTCAGGAAATGGCAATGACCACTAAGTGCAGCAAAGGCTGATAGTGTCAGCGCCTCTGTAAAATAACTCGATCAGCAGCAACAGCCAAGTCAGTCTCTGGTTGGAGTATAAGGTGCATTTCAACAGTGGAAGTCATTTTAAAATAAAAAAAAACCCTAGAGCTTTGTATTTTTTGTTTAATCTCAACATATTTAAAACATGAAAGCTAACATCTGAACGTCAACTGCACTATTAATACTGTGATAAAGCTATTGTGACAATTGTGATGCTTCTTTTATATTTTAATACAATCCTATGATGCAAATTAATATATGAATGTACAATTTCAAACAACGGGTCTGAAGGCTGATGGCCTGCATCATGCCAACTTGCATATTTGGTCGTTTTTCAAGTAAATTGAAAAGAAATGTAAAACTTTATTGTAAATAAAAATGTGTTACATTTTAAAGATGACTGACAGACAAAATAAAAAGCAACTCTCCTGCTCCAGCACTACCCCTCTCGCTCTGTCTTCCCCTATTGTTTCTAAGACATTAAAAACATCCTGAGGTTCTAATGTTAACAATTCCGATCCTGTCTACCATGAGGGATACCTTTATGGGGAGGGGAGAGAAAGAAAAAAAACCACAAAACCACCAAAACCAGAGCAACCAGGAAAGAAAGGAATTTTGAGGTAATCATTTAAATAGATACAAACTGAAAAAAAGGTGTTAGCTTCAATACTCTCTTTTACCTCGCTCTCTTTTGACTTCTAATAGTGGAAGTCAAAAAGTACTGCAGCAAAACCAGGGAAGGTGGGAGTAGGTGTTTGATGCCCTTTGACCTTTAGCAACCATAGAAAACTGACAACTCCCCCCTCTCTTCCCTGCTTCCCTGCCAGCTGTTTGTTACAGCCAAGGGAAAAAACGAATTCGTAAGAATCAGAACTGAAGTTTACCACAGAAAGCTCAAAAGTCAAATTTCCGCATTACAGCTGGGACAGCGGTGTTGTATTCACAACCGCAGAGCAGGCTGATAAAGTGATTCTGTCTGTATTCTGCCACAAAAAGGCGTATCTAGATTTTCAGGGATCGGGGGATTTGAAGCTTCCCAAGATAAGGCAGCCGAGCTTTCCGTTTTCCTGCTGGTTTACCGTATAGAAATTGGACAGAGAAAGCCACCCGTGAGTTAGCTCAAACAGAGAGTCAGGCCACGGGAGAACACCGCCAGGTAGTGCTCGTAAAAAGGCTTACCTTAATAAAGAGGTTGGAAAGTTTTGGAGGCAGGTTCCCTCCTCCTTCCATGTGGTACTTCATAAGGAAGCCCATCCCTCTGATGCCGCTAACCGCAATGGGAATCTGCAGCATAAAGACAAAAACTGATATTGCAGCAGAATCCAGCGGCCTTTATAGCTAGGCTCACGGCCTCGTGGAGCGGTGAGCTGCTGCTGAGGGCTAAACGGATCTTTCACAAAACTGTCGCAGGCAAAGCAGGAAAACATTGGGTTAACGTTATTGGGTAATACGATGAAAAAATCATAATGTGACTATGAGCCACATGGAGCAAGGTGGCAGGCCCCACAGAGCCCTCAAGTTCCCTACACCAAATTACTCATTCAACCCTAGATTTAAAGTCTTCTTCCTAAAACAAAATATTTGCACTTCTTGTAAACCAGGAATGACGACTTTTAATAGGGCAACAGAAGTGTTGGGAGAAATTTACTCCCAATGAAAGCTACTCTGCGGTTGAAAATGATGTAGTCTTCATCTCCACAGAGATCAGAACTCAAAGAATTGGAACAGCCGTGTAATTTCCCTATAAAACCGCATCCAGCCAAGGGAGGATCTTCAGACGGCACTTGGGGATTTCTGTTCTGTTCGGTAACGCAGAGAACCTGCAGACCTTTTCAAACTCCTGCCAAGCGCTTGCAACAGAACTTGCCCACTCTCACGTAGCGCTTACCCTGTCAGCGGTGGCATTGCTGAGGATCATCTCCTGAACGCTGGTGTAGTATTTGGGGGAACACAGCCTGCTAGGAGCAACGTTTACGGCCACGGAGAGCGCCAGGCTTCGCCCGTGTCTCACCATCCAGTCAATGCCAGAGACGTCTGCTGCAAATGAGAGAAAGAAGAATAGCAAGGCTCCTGCTATCCGCTCCTCTTCATCTAAGAAAGCTTTTGTCAGTTTGCCATACAAGCAGCGCTAAAACGCAACCCCTCTACGGGCCAGGAACACCTTCTGGGCAGATACGGAAACCGGACACAAACAAGTGACTCTGTATTGTTCAACCCGTTTTTTCCGCTGGTCTCAGGCAGGCGTAGCCAGGCCCCCATCACCTGGTGCATGAAGGAGCTGGGCATCGGAATTGCACAAGCTTTGAGACTCTAATAAAATTGTAAAAGTCATCTGTAATTTGAAACGGGCTAACAGATTCCCTTTTTAATCCCACAGAGGAGAGTAATCCCATGGCACTCCCAGCCACTGAGAGTTCCTGTAAAATTAATGGGTTTTTCTAACTTAGAGGCAAGTTAGTTAATGCTCCAAAAGCATCTGAAGCCATCGGATGTGGTCTGCAATTAGCATAAGCCAATCTAAGATGACAGCGTCATCAAAAAAGGTGGAATGGCCCTCCCGTCCACCCTGCCTGAACATCCTGCCGCCTCCCCGCCTCTCCGTCAGCACGAGCAATCGCTCAGCCATGCCCGTACTTCCATCAACTCATCTGAAAACAAATCCAGAGAAAAAAAAGTACGGGTAACCCCAAATTACAACCACCACTCCGTGCTCAACTATGTACCCGGGTGCTCAAATGAACAGCCAGGAGCAAAGAAAAGCACAGGAAAATCGGATTCAGGTTTAAGATGAAGAACCTAAATAATGAGTCACAAAGTTTGCCTGAACCAACGGCTAAGAGGGTACCTTCCCCTGCTTTCAGGATCAGTTCCAGTCACCGTAACCAGCTTCACCTACCCAGTAAGTGCTGGTGGAGAACAGTACTGAGCTCCTCTTCTGACAGAAAGGCACACAGTTCTGCTAAGCAGCCAGCCGAGGCCATGCGGGTGGCATCCTAACGAGGCAAGGAAGAAAAGAGTAACGCTGGTTGAGCTCCATACGCCGCAGAGATAAGGAGCAAGAAGAGCAAGGGACAGAAGATGATACGGAATAAAGAGAGAAGGAGGAAATAAATACTATTAGTAGTAGTTCACTCCTACTACCTGTGGATTTCTGTCAGTTCACAAGGTTTCTTGTACATAATGGAACTTCAAGCCAAATCCATAGTCAAAAAAGCCAGCAGAGACTGAGAAATTACAGACCTTACATAAATCCTGATTTGTTACATGGAAAAGTCATAAAGATGAAAGTGAATGTTTTCAAAGGCGTGTTAAGAGAGAAGTTTAGATTCACAGCCTGGAAAGCAAGCAGTACTTCCAGCCATCTCTAGCCGAGCTTCTCGCTGTGATAAACTCATACTACTTTTAATTTAAAACTTCCAGGCTTTTGTTGCTTTGGCTTGCTTATGTGGCCATCCCGTCGCTACTCGTCTCCACCCTGAAACTTACAGTCCAGTGGGAATTCTTCAATTCTTCTATTGCTAGCATGCCAACAGTTGCACGTCTATGTTGCACAGATTAAGGCATAAGGAAGAAATTACCGGATGATTAATTTTAATCTCGCAGATGATACTGTTGCTATCTGCCACATACAGAAGACCCCGTAATAAACTTGGAAGAGCTTCTTGCTCGTTGGAGAAAAACCTGCCATTATCTGAAAAAGTTCTCCCCCTAAATGATAACCCCCACCCGAGAGCCTACAGACAGACATATGGGCACATAGTGAAGGTATTGCCCGTTTTCTCCAAGATAAAAAGCCAGTCCTGAGGTCAGAGCTGCCTCAGACACACTGGTGAGGAGCTGCAGGTCAAACCCACATAGGCGGTTGCTAAGGAAACATTTAAACTCGCGGATTTTCAGAGTTACCAGTGACTGCCTGGGGATTTCTAACTCTTGCGCCTGACTCGTGGCTAACACACTACAAGGCTCCAACGAGATCGATTTTACAGAGCGTGTTCAGTTCAGTGAGTAATGCCCAACCCCATGCTTCTTTATCCGAGTTTCTTTCCACTCTATCAGTAGTAATTTCCCCCAGAAGTTATTTTAGAAAATACTTCAGATTTTAAATTTAAGAACGTGACTGTCTACAGCACGGATGCTTTGCAGCTGGCTGAAGCAGTACCTCATCGTGTCCCAGCATCCCTAGAAGCACCGTGCTGATGTTCTTCCTGATGGCAGCATCAACTTTTGCACCAGCTCCTCGTGTTACAAACCGCAGCGCTTGCAGCATCGTGTCCCTAGAAGTGATCACAACTTACGGTCAGGCATTGCCTCTCCCCACGCCCTAAAGAAGAAATTGAGCTCTGGACACCTGCAGCAGTTTCTTACACAGCAAATACACGAACACGCCTTACCGTCCAGGAGACTGATGCTCTCTCTGCACTGCTGGAAACTCCACGCGAGAGAATATTTCCACATTTTTGTACTTGTGTCTGTCTGTTACAGCATAAATATTTTCTGACTATTCAAACATTAAAAAAAATCCTCAAATCAGGAAGTTTATTTCTTAGGGATCTGTGCACTCAGGATACAAGACCAGCTGTGTTACTTCAGGTCCGACTGAGAGTTGATACAGTCTTGTACCTGGGAGTGGGCTGCTGGGGTATGTGCAGGGGAGAGAACCGGGCAGGTACCGAGCAAGGCTTCCCCTCAGGCACTGTCACAGCTTAGCTCCTCACCCACAGTCCCCGTCATCCACATTCTTCGTTCCACAACCCTTGATTAACAGTCAACTGCTTTCACTAATAAGTAAATCTTACTCTCAGAATTAAGGGGCGAAAAAAAAAGATAAATTCTACACAAATAGCTATTCTAGTTTTGTTCATCCGTCCTAGCCCTTTCTTTCATCCTTAATAAGCAGGACGGTCTGAGGCGTCACCTACGGCTTACCTGATCGCAGAGTCATCGCTGGAACGAATTCCGTTCAGTAGCTCCGTGAAGAGAGGATCCACTTTTACGTGGATGACAATGAGTTTACCGAGAGCATCGGCAGCTTTAAGGCGAACCGCACGGTTTGAGTCTTGTAGGGCTTTGGTGAAGGTGGTTTGCAATTGGGGCAAAAACGGTTTCAGGGCAATCTCAACCTACGCCAGAGACGAACGAAGGGAAAGCGGTGCAGTCAAGTCTGAAACGGTGGCTAGAAATCAAAGCCTGAAAACAGCAGGCCCTCCTCTACAGCAGTTAGTTATCACAAACAGCCCTCGCCCAGATCTAACATACTGCTAAAGTAGGAAAACCATGAAACAATACCACGGAACTTTTAACCTTTTCAAATCTAATCTTCTTTTCTGCCTACTGCAATGCAAGTTGCTGAAAAATTTTACACTATCATGAACAGCCTTTTGTATACAGAGTACTAAATAAAAGCTCGGCTCAATTCAAAGATACATAAGATGATCATCTTTGCACTTAACAATTCATAAAAATGGCGGACACGGGAAAGATTAATTCCGTGGTAGTTTTTAATCACTTGGAAGTGGGATCAGCATTTAGCAATATTTCTAAGCAGCCCAGTGATTCAAGCACTGGGGGCTTTTTTGGTAGGCCAGAAGCTGCTGGAAGAATACAGTCCAGTTACGGTGCCATTCCTAAATACCAAGTCCACACCAGCAGCCACCCTAGCTGGATTTACATGAACAGCAACAGATATTGCTGAAGGTTACCATGGAAAATGTTCACAGACCACAGGCAGTTACTTTGAATCTTACCTTGGCTAAAAGGAGGCTTAATGTTTCAAGCAGAGCCACCTTGACGTTCCAGCTGAACCGATCGCCCAGGATCCGAATAAGTGGCCCAGTAATGCTCACCACAGATGGTTTAAGAGCTTCAGCAGAAGTCAGCTTAATAACCAGCCCTAAGGCCTTTGCTGCCTCCTCCTTCTGCTCTGGATTACCAGTTAAAACACCTTCCCGCAGCACCAAGAGTATGGAAGTCACTCCCTGTCATGAAAATCGAATAAGAAAGCTTAGAAGCTAAGATGCAAAAAATATGTATCTTATTTTTGCTCCTGTTATACACCAGATGCACAAAATCGGGAGAGTTTCTCTCAATTTCCTGTTGACCTTCAGCTGCCTGCTTCCACATTTACAGAGCTACTTTTACTTGGTTTGATTTCATGCATCTACGCCTTACTAAGCCAGTTGCTATGAGAAAAGTGGTGGTGGCTCAGGGAATTTTTAAAGCAGAGAAATCTGGCACAGAAGTCCAGCTTTACGCCCCCACAAAAAGCAGCCAGCAACCACGACTTACACGCATAACAGAACTGTCAAAGAGCTTGTAACAAGAGGAGTCTTCTGTAGGGCAACTCAAGAGCGGCAGTAACCTACAAAAAGCCTCTCCAACAAACAGGTTTGGAACGCCCCAACGGTTACTGCTTCTAACAGCTGTGAAGTCCCATCAGCCAGTTCCCCCGCAAGGCGGGTGTTAGGCTGTGAGGAATCCATGCTCATTCTGATCCTTTACCTTCTTAGGAATACAGAATCCCGGCACATGCTCGCCCTTGGCCTCATTCCCTACAATCCGGATATCCTTGTGCAGGTCCTCAATGAGAGCAAGCTGGTTCCCAGCGTCTAATTTCTGCAGGAGAGAAGGGCAAGACAAAGATGAGGCCAACGTGGCAACCAGCTATTCTTCATGAACTCTTCTCAGGCGTGTCAAGAGAAGACGCTCGTTTCCCGCCTCCTCCAAAGACCTGGCTACTGGCTCATGACGCTCATCTGGCAACGCTCAAATCTTTGCAGCATTTGCAAATGTAAATGTAGTTTACAATCAAACCAGAAGGTTCAATTTAGGCAGTATTTTACCAGCTAGCCCTGTTTTCTCCTTGCCAGGCATTACCACTGTAACCTTTTTAAGCCGCCTCTCACCTTGGTGATGGAATTAAGCGCATCCCAGCTTTCATTCAGAACAACAGGGTTGGTATCATTAAAGAGGCGTATCAAGCCTGAAACCAAGCTCTTGAGATGTCCAGTATAGTCTGCTTTTGTCTTGGAGCAGTAGATATTGAGAATGACAGCTGCTGCCTGTCTCATTCCCAGCTCAGGGCTGCGGGTAGCTTCTAGTAAATCTTCAGTTATGATTCTTTGTCCAGCGTCATCTTCCACAGACAGGATTACAGACTGGCAGTTTGCCATCTCCTAAAGAGTCCAAATTAACTTGACGTTAACTCTCAAATAGAACAAAGCCAGATTTAGCCCCAGGTTTCCCCACGTTATCCACAGCATTACGTCTTAGAGAAATACTACAACACACCCCGCTTGCTAATCATTTCTCATTAAATAGCCGGTCACGTCACCATTCCAGGCTCAGTTCAGTCCTGGAGCAGAGATGGGTATATAACCAACTCTCACAATTTAACAAGTGACCAAACTCTGCTGCACAGGTTGCTCTCCAGCTGCAGAAGGGCTCATTTACAGAAATTAGAGTAGTTCCGTCTCCCCATCTTACTCACCCCTCAGAGACTGCGGCTCTCGTCAGATAACATTTTTTTAATTTAGGTAGTTTAATGCTGTGCGTCCTAACGCTAATTACAAGCGCGTCTGCGGGTACATTACAGATCTCCAGGCAGACTTGGGGCTAGAAGCTGAGCTAATGGGCATCTACAGCAGACAGACAACAGGACTCCGTCACTAACATTCCTAATTCACCAACTTATGTACACGTCTATCTGCAATCACAACTCCGGGATGTTCTCTGGAGTCCAAATGCCAGATGTTTTGGAAAGCAGTACAGGAGTGCTGCATGCAAAACAGGAGATTTCCTCCCTTCAGCCCTTTAATCTCTCTGTCTTCTATGCCAAGAATAAATACAAAGTTAACTAGACACTCTGGCAGCGCTCCAAGAATAAGTAAACTGAGAATTGTATCTTGTTGCAGGCCAAAGAGACTTTTACATGGATACAAATAGATTTGGAAAGCATACGTTTTTCGACTCACAATATGCCACCAGGCAAAAAGACTCATCCTGAAGAAGCTAATGGACTGAATTAAAACATGCAATCTGTGAATCTAGAGAACACAGATCCTGTGCTGGGAAGTAAACCCGAAGCACTATCTTCAGGCAACCTGTCATAACAAAGAGCTGAGCTGTGCTACGTGCCAATTGCTCTTCGCTGGTCCCCAGCTTCTCCTTCAGCGCAGACATCATAGCAGGCAGGATGACACTCAAGTGCCGTGTCAGAGCGTCCCCCGCCACTGATGAGAGGAAAGCTAGCACGCGGGTGTTCACAGGGGGAGCAGTCAGCTAAAAAAAAAAAAAACAAAAAACAAAAACCAAGATAAGCAGGAAGTTTTTTCAGAAGGAATCTCAATTCATCTACGACATGAAAAATTTCCAGGTATAAATGCATCACAACCCAAATGACAATGTTTTGAGCACAAAATCAGAAGAAAGTTTCAAACTGTGCTCTTCCTTTTGGCATATCGGTCCAAAGAAAACTGGCAGCAAGCAGAGAAAAAAGCACAGTTCTGAAGTTTAAAATTTGTTTCCAGTTGTACCTTTGGCACCAAATAAGGCAGCACCACCCGGCTCTTGACAGCCATAACTTGTTTAAGACCATCCACAGCAAAGTCAGATGTTTCCTCATTATCCTACAGGGA